TGACTCCAACTTACATGGGGTACCTAGAATAGTCTTCAAGTTTCATTCATGTTGTAGTATACATCAATATTCCTTCCATTTTAAGGCTTAGTGATATTCCATTGTATGCATACACCCTAGTCTGCTTTGTATGTATAAATGTATATCTTTACATAAATGTATCTGTCAATAGGGGCTTTCCTGGTGGCTCAGCGGTAAAGAATCCACCTGCCAATGCAGGAGACTTGGGTTCGATCCCTGGCTTGGGAAGATCCCATGGAGAAGGAAATGCCAACACAGTCCAGTGTTCTTGCCTGGAAAATCCCAAGAAGAGAGGAGACTGGTGGGCTACAGACAGGTTGCAAAAGAGTCGGACACAACTTAGCAACTAAACAACATCTGTCAATGGACACTTGGGGAGCTGCCACCTTTTCAGTTCTTTTGGATGAATACCAGAAGTAGAATAGCTGGAGCATATGCTAATTCTATTCACATTTTGAGGAACCATCCTATTGTTTCTCACAGTCTACTCATTTTATTGGCTGTATAATATTTCATTTTCTTTCTTGCCCTAATACTAAACCACTCCAGAAGTGTTTCCCGAGAAATCTCAAGTTTTCATTTTCTCTGTTGGATGGACATTAGTTCTGGCTTAGACAATGCTTCAGGTTTTTTTGCCCCAGTTTAAAACTAACTCATAGACATACATTTTTACTGAAACGGAGCAGGACCCTATGGTTCTTGCCGCCCCCCCCCCCCCCACCCCTGCCCCGTGTCCTCTGCCTGTCTCATCTGTGGAGACTTTAGTCAAAGAATATGTTTGATCAGAGAAATGAGAACATGCAAAACAAAGCCAAAAAAACAGAAAAACTGTCAAAGACCAAATAATAATAACGTAGTCATTTCAGTTCAGTCGCTCAGTTGTGTCCGACTCTTTGCGACCCCATGGACTGCAGCACACCAGGCCTCCCAGTCCATCACCAATTCCCAGAGTTGACTCACACTCATGCCCATTGAGTTGGTGTTGCCATCCAACCATCTCATTCTCTGTCATCCCCTTCTCCTCCTGCCCTCAGTCTTTCCCAGCATCAGGGTCTTTTAGCATAGTCAGAGACCTTCAGTTCCTTCTCAAGGGCTATCAATAATACTGTGAGCCATATCCAGTGAGCTGTCTTAAAAGCAACCCCCCTCCCCACCCTGCAAGGGTGAAGAAGTTAACTACACGATGATCGGGCTGCACCTGCGACATAAGCTGCCACAGTTCCAAGAACTGGCCTCAAGGACATGGAAACAAACTGACCCTGGAACTGAAGAATTAACTGTACAATCAAGATGAGGCTGGTCAGACCACCAATGATCAATCTGAAGATGACTGTCAGAGCTGACTGTGCTGTTTCTGCATGGAGCCCACCCCAACCCCCAACCCTGGTTCAAAAAGCTCTTGCGCAATTGATTGTCAGGGCAGAGAGTTGGCCTTTGGACAAACACCTGCCCTCCCTACTGGTTGCCGATATCTGAAATAAAGCAAATCTTCCTTTCCACCAATCTGGCCTGCTTATTGGCAGCTGCCCCCACCTTCTGGTAACATTACCTCTGATAGTTGGTAACTGTTTTTGCTTACTGCCACCTCAAAATGACTCTTCTCAAGGACATGCCCCATTGATGGGAGTAAATCCTCTCTAGCCTGACTTCTGCTTTCCCATGTGGGGGCCGCCAGCAAATATTTAAACTTGAGTCAATTAGCTGCTAAGTCGCTTCAGTCGTGTCCGGCTCTGTGCGACCCCATAGACGGCAGCTCACCAAGGCTCCCCCGTCCCTGGGATTCTCCAGGCAAGAACACTGGAGTGGGTTGCCATTTCTTCCTCCAATGCATGAAAGTGAAAAGTGAAAGTGAAGTTGCTCAGTCATGTCTGACTCTTAGTGACCCCATGGACTGCAGCCTACCAGGCTCCTCCGCCCATGGGATTTTCCAGGCAAGAGTGCTGGAGTGGGTTACCATTGCCTTAAGTGAAATAAAATTAAAAACTCATTTTCTCAGTTGTGCCTGACATATTTCAAGTGTATGACAGTCACAAGGAGCCTGTGCTACTGAATTGGGTGTCACAGATACAGAACATGTCCACCATCTCAGCTCTATGGTGAGTGCTGCTCCAGACTCTTTTTGACTCTGACCACTTCATTACAGCTGAATTAGAGCCTATGAGTTACTCCCCCAAATGATTAAATCCTAGGAGAAAGGCCAATGATAAACACATTCGGAAGAAAACACTATAAACTCTGGAATGTGAGTTTCATAATTCACCATTGGGAATACCTCTTCCAGTGGCTGGACTACCCCTGCCCGCTGTTTCCCAAGTCAAGTCTTCTTCAGAATATGAATTCTTGGCCTTAAGTTTGTTACTGATGGTCACCTAATGCAAGCTGGGTCAATCCAGTTCCTTACTTTTCCCTTAAGGTATTTGGAACTGGGAGAGGCTGTCAGTCAGGTGGTCCTCTAGCCGTTCAGAACTATAAATTCAGGAGAAACAGTCACATCCCACTATGTAAAACTGAGCTGCATATAGCAACGGAAAGAAAGCTCAAGCCGGTAAGTGGAGATAAACCTGCTTTGGGCTTTCTTAATTCTGGGTTCAGGTTCCTTCCTTAGGACCATCTACATCCTTGACTTTGGGTTACAGCAGAAAAGTTTGCATCCTAACAGTGAATTCATCAATGCTTAAGCTAGCTCCAATGGGCTTATCATCTGGGACTCAGACTCCTAATATACATGTATACATAGACTACACACATGGGCACTGACATACAACTCCGAGGTGTGTGTAGTTCTATACAAACTTTGCATTAAGTCATTGCACTGGGCCCCCAGACTACTTTTCCTGTTTAACTTCCTTCTCACTAAAAGTGTGCTTAGGTTGTCCTCTGTTGTTTTTTTTTTTTTTAATTCTTTTCCTTCCCTTGATAAAAATATGCCTTCTGCAATTCTGGGTATGGAAGCTTTAGGAAATCAAGTCCTGTACTACTCTTAATGATGGATTTAAATCTTTTTTTTTTTTTAATGTAATTCTTTAGCTTGTATTGCACCTTAATCTCTCAGGCCTAAGTAATTCACTCAACATTCATCAACGACTGAATCAATAATCCCTCATAGGCCAGAGCAGCAAATGGTGAGTGTTAGGATCCCACAGGACCAGAACTGAGTGGGTACCTCTGCAAGTCCCAGCATGCTACTGCAGATGAACTGATTAGGAGAAATCTCCTCTGGCAGGAGGAAAAAGGATGAGGAGTCAGCTAAGAAAGAAAATCCATGTATATCCATGGCTGATTCATGTCAATGTATGCCAAAAACCACTACAATATTGTAAAGTAATTAGCCTCCAACTAATAAAAATAAATGGAAAAAAAAAAGGGTTTGAATAACTAAAAAAAAAAAAAAGAACAGAGCAACAGCACCCCAGAGGGCAAAGGCACACCCCATGTCCTAGGCAGGAAAGCACTCAGTGTGGTCAAGGAACAAAGACCAGAGTGGCAGGAGGAGAGAGCAGGGGGAAAAGTAGTGTGAGCTGACAGGTAGGGCCTTTAAGCCAAGGTAACCGGTTAAGATAAAACTGGGAAAGTCTTAAAAAAGATTTTAAAAAGGGAGTGAGCTGCTCTGATTTGTGTCTTAAAAAAGAATTACCCATTCTGGCTAGTCCGGAGAAGTAAGGATAGGGACCAGTTTAGGAGGCTACTGTAGTTGTTGGCAAGAGATCACAAACGGCTTAGCCTATGAGGATGGGAAGCAAAAGGAGCTCTGGGAGGTATCTGAGATTTTTCAAGGTGGAAACATAAGCTCTTAAAAGTTTTCCATTTTACCTTCTAAGTAGCCAGCAGCCATATTAAAGCTGTCAATGAAGAAGACACAGAAACTACTAGGCCCTACCAAGTTATGAAGGGTTTGTCTTCCTGTTTCACAAGGCTCTGGGCTCAGCTCTTACCTCGATTCCAATAATCCTCTAGAGAAAAATCCCGCAGTCATCTATCTCCCTTTCCTTTGATGAGCAGCAACTGCTGAAAAACGACTCCCAGCAAAACGACAGTGGTGTCTGGGGTTCACTGATACACACCTAACTTTTCATTTAAATGCTCACTTTTAATTTGGTATGTGTTATCTTACATCGCATCAAGTGACAGAGGAGGCATTTTGCTAGCAGCATCTGCTACTTCATCTAGAAAAACTGTATTCACCACCTCATTCTCAGCAACCTGGGGAAAAATTCCTTTAGAATAATTCATCGTTCACAGAGGACGGGTGCCCTTTCGCCTATGCAGATCTCTAGCGTTCTGGGCACCGCTTCCCGCCGCGCAGACAAATGCACTCATTGTCTGCACCACGCCAGCCCCCCTCCCCCGGATTTTATGCAGCTTGCATTTCCTGCACCGAGAAGCTTGGCTGCAGGCGTGCTTCCCTCGTTCCCCTGCTCCCGCCCGAATCCCAAGCTTTTGTTTCTAAAGGTTTTCTCCCGACGCTATTAAAAATGCTTGGGCACATCGTTCGCAGATAAATGACGGACTAGGAAGTTTTCTGGCTGTTAACCTCGAGGCCAACGTCCAGTAAAGTTCTGAAAAAAATCAACTAAACCTCGTGTAAAGAGGCCAGTCCCTATGGAAACAACGGAAACGTGGATATTATTGCCTAAACTTGCCGGGAGGCGGGTGGGGGCGGGATTTAGGTTTTTCTTAAGATAAACGCTTCGCAGTGCACCCCCCTCCCCCCACCCGCAAGGGCTCTCCAAAGGGCTGTAGCCCGCGTTCCCGCAGCGGCGAGGAGGTGGTGTATGGGGGGACCAGGCCGGGGGGGAGGGGGGGTCGAGCTGAGCCCGGCCTCCTGGCGGCGACGCTCTGGCCCGCCCGCGCGCGCGCGCGCGCGCGCTCGATGGTTCCGCGCGGCGGCCCGGGCCCGCGCGGTCCCGACGCCAGGGGGCGCGCTGGCCGGCGCCGCGGATCCCCGAGCTGCGCGGCCCGACTCGCGTCCGCCATATTGGATGCCGCAGCCGCCGCTGCCAGCGCTTCCTCCGTCTTCGCGGCGCGCCGCTGGTTCCTACGGGCCCCGAGCGGCGGGGAGGCGAAACAGGAGCCCGCCGGAGGAAAGAGGAAGGAGGGGGTGGAGAGAAGTCGGGGACCGGGGCTAGAGGGTGGAAGCCCGAGACCGAGCGGGACGGAGAAGAGCAGGCGCCGCGGCCCGGCCCCTCCCCCCCCCGGCCGCCGCCGCCGACCCGCCCCGGCAGCGCCTCTGTTCCCCGGCCCGGCGCTCCGCCCGCCCTAGCGGCCATGCCGGGGCCTCGCCGCCCCTAAGGGAGAGCCCTTCCCCGCCAGTGCTTGCCTCGCCTTTCCGCTCAGGCCCGGGGGATCGCAGCGGCCCGGCCCCCCACCCCCGTCCCCGCCGCCGCTGGCGCGCCCGCCCCCTCACACCACCCCCCCCCCCCACCCTCCTCGCGGCGCCGCCGCCGCCCCCGTCTCGCTCTCCCCACCCAGTGCAGTGGCCGCCGCCTCTTCCGCCGCCGGGCTCCGGGCCTCCGCATCGACAACATGGAGGCTGTGAAAACCTTCAATAGCGAGGTTGGTATTGCAGTCTTCGCCTCCCCTCTCCTCTGTTCCTGCCCGCGCTCCCCACCCCGCCCCCCGACCCCCGACCCCCGACCCCGGATCCGGGACAAGGCCCGCCGCGGGAGGGCTGGGCTCGGGCCCGCAGGGCTTTCTCCAGGGTGGGGCGAGCGGCGGCCTGGCCGTGCCCGTGGGGGAGGGGTGTCTCTCCGTCCCGGCGCCCCTCCCCCGATCCCGGGGTGGTGGTGGGGGCGGGGGAGGTTCCGGTGTCTCCAGCACCTACTCCCGAGTGGCTGCGGGGGTGGAGGGGGAGGCCCCCGGTTGGGCCCTCCCCCGGAGGCTCCCGACAGGTCTCTCTGCGGGTCAGTTCCGCCGAGGCCTGGCCCGCCCTCCTCTTTTCCTGGGCCTGCGGGATTTTTAACTTGGAGGCCAGGCTTCCCTGTTTCAGGCCTTTCCTCGGTCCTTCATGAGGCAGGCACTGATGGGGGTGGTGAGGGTTGGTGGGGGGTGGAAGTGCTGGAAGAGCACCTCCTGGGATGATCGTCTATGGGCACATTGCAAGCAGTGTTTGTTTATAACCGAGATATTGTTGGCTAGGTAACCTGCCAACCGGGGACTTAAGCTCAAGGGGATGGTTGGTCTGGAGGCGAGGTTATTTCTGCAAATTTCCCCTTGTCCTTACTCCACCCCCCCGCCCCCCAACCCTTCTCATCGTCACGACATAAAGCAGGAGAGCAGTGCATGCCGAGAGGAAAGATGCGGGAGAGGCATTTCCCACGGGCTTCTTCACATGTCATACATAAGACTAGATTTTAAATAAGCAGCTGTCCAGTTTTCACTGTTTGATTGAGTTTGCTAGTCTGAAGAGAGACACGTTTCGATAAAAATAGTCGTGTCCGACTCTGCTATCCCGTGTGCTGTAGCCCACCAGGCTCCTCTATCCATAGAATTCTCTCCAAGCAAGATAACTGGAATAGGTAGTCATTTCCTTTTCCAGGGATCTTCCCCACCCAGGGATCAAACCCGGGTCTCCTGCATTGCAGGCAGCTTCTCCAGGGAAGCCCTAAAATATTTTAAAACCTTTTAAAACTCTAATGTTAATTTACTTTATTAAACAAACATTTACCAAGTAGATGTCTACACAGCTAGAGTTATCCGTACTTGTATGCCTTAGATACAAGTATTTTAATATGATGTTAATTAGATTTGCATCAATTTTATGAACTTTTCATGTGGAGGCGCTAATACTCTGTTCAATAGAGTATAATCTAATAGTGATGTCTAAACAATTTTATTTTTCTTTTCTTCTTCCGTCCCTTCCACCCTTCTATCCTTCCTCCCTTTGGAGAATTAGCATTTGAGAAACTTAGCAGAGAGGCTAAATGTTAGATCTAACAATCATGGGAATTAGACTTTCCATATTAAAGCAAATAGCTGTGACAGTTATATAAAAGAAAGCCTTATTTTGGAAATGAATACAAGGTTTTCTTTACTGCTTTTTGATAGAAATTAGAGTAGTAGCCTTGGGAATCTTTTCCATTTTATTTATGAATTTATAGCTGATAATTTGGGTCAGATTATAAAATTTGCTTTCACTCCTTGTCCTTAAAATCTGGAATAAAAAATAAGGATACTATATGTTCCAATTTATTGTTGATAATTTCACAGCTCTGCAGGGGAGGGGGAAAAAACAGGTCTGTGTAGCTTTTTTATTTGCTCCATGTAGTGCTACAGCCCTGAATAGGTTAAAGTGGTCTTCATTTAAATTATATATAAAAAAGCTTTCTGCTATTTCCTTCCAACTATTTGATTTACCCTAGACCTTTTTGATGGGTGTCTTCTGTTTATCTTGGGGGTTCCTAATATGTACCCTCCATTTCCAGCCCTCCCTGCCATGTGATAGATACAAACAAGTGGTTAGTACACTGTGGTTGATCACAATGGAGCAGGGAGGAGTAGAAATGTTACAATTGGTTTTTTTATTTTAGTATTGACATTAGGGATAAGGAGCCTAACATTTACATGGCTAGCTTGATGTTTCAGCTCTTCTCTCATCTAATCTTTACAAGAACTTGAGATTTGTAGTGGTATTCCCACTTTAGTTTGTGTAACACTGTCTCCTTTCCCCTTAGGTATTTTTTTGTCCCCTTATGTATTTTCAGAGAACTTAAAACATTTTTTAACTCCCTTGTTTACTAGTATTATGCTCACACTTTACCATGTTTAAAAATGGGGTTGGCGCACAGCACAGCATAGTTATAGAATTGAGGAAGCGAAGTATATTTTGAAGAAGATTCAGAAGAATGTACTTTTTAAGGGAGTTTAAACTCAAAATATGTAATCTTTTTTTTTTTCTGATTTTTGGAAAAAAGTTTCTGTGACTATGCTTGCTAGTATAGTAAAAATTTGTTGTTGTAAGTTAAGTATATAGTGGGAAATAGTTCAGTAATATTTTTCCATTAACTCATATGTTACAAAGTGCAGAAATAAAAAAGGAATCTGAATTACAGGATTAGGAACAAGGATGTTTTAGAATGTTTCCTTAAAATTAATTTGGCTTTTAAAGGGATTTATCTTTGGGCTGAGCCCAACAGAACTTTCTCTGGCAAATTTAAAGTTATCTTTGAAGCATTGAATTGTCAAATGCCACACACTTTATAAGGTAACACAATTTAGCTGTAAGCATAATGTTCAAAATATGAAGTGCTTAGCTTCTATGACTTGCTTAAAAAACAAGCGAACATTGGCTTGACACCAGAAATGTGCCAGGGATTTTTAAAGTTAAGAATATAGATCTTTAATCTGTAAATTGTGGATAAGTTTCAGTCTGAAAATCTGATCTTATGCATAAGTCTAGGAAGCAGTCCGGAGAAGGCAGCGGCCCCCACTCCAGCGCTCTCGCCTGGAGAGCCCAAGGATGGAGGAGCCTGGTGGGCTGCAGTCCACGGGGCGCTAAGAGTCGCGGACGCGACTGAGCGGCCTCACTTTCACACATTGGAGAAGGCAATGGTACTCCACCCCAGCGCTCTCGCCTGGAGAACCCCAGGGACGGGGGGCCTGGTGGGCTGCCATGTGTGGGATCACAGAGTCGGACACGACTGAAGTGACTTAGCAGCAGTAGCAGGAAGCAGTCGTGATTGGCATGTCTTCCTGCCTGCCAAACTTCCCTCCCCCTTTTCTCAAAGAGGCTTTATGGCCTCCCCACCCCATTTTCACATTCACTGTTGGAGGATCTTTTGTGTGTGGTAAATTCCTCTTAATTATCATCAGTTAAGTGAGATTGAGGCTCAGGAATTGATATTTAAGTGCCCTCTGTGCTGGTTTTGTGAGAAAACTTTAATTTCCAGTTAAGCATCATCATGATGAAAGTTGAATCCCATGGCCACTAATGTCAGTTCTGAAATGATGAAAGAATATTGTCCAGATTGGAATATAGGATTCTCTAAGGGTCAGTGCTTGACCTAAGCAGTTAATTCCAGAAGAGTTATCATCATGACAAGGTATTGTAGTTGCTGCTGCTCAGAGATGGTGGCATTTACTTGTTATGATCGTTTATAGAGCCCTCACCTCAGTTGGAAGGGTCTCCTGTTCTTCTCTTTAAATCTGTGGAATCATGTTAGGACCACAACTGATTACTGGAATGCAGCAGTTTTATGTGAGTTGCATATCTGTACTCAGTTCTTAAGAATGCTTCTGTATGGAGGTCAGTATGGTAGGTGTTTTTTTTTTTTTTTAAGGAGAATACAAAAGCGGTTCATAACCCTTTCTTAGAAAATAACTTAATTGGCGAGGTCGCTTTAGCAATATAGGAACTCTTAATATGTGGAAAATATAAGAATTCTTAGATTAAGAATATAAAAATCTGTTATGCTAGTGTCTGTAAAATTATTGCAGATTAATTTTTGGATTTACCTTGGTCCTTAAATTCTTTACTCATCTGTAGGATCTCTAAATCCTTAGTGTCTTTTGTTCTTAGGATCCTTTGGTTGGTTGGATAGCTCACCCTTTAAACTGTTTCAGCATGTAGACTTTTCTAGAGTCACTTAACACCCAGTATATTTTCCTCTTCTCTGCCTTGTCTTTACACCAGTAGTGAAATCCCTTCTTCGTCTTATTCCATTTCCAAGTTTGTATCCAGGGTGTTCATTTGCCTAACTAGAGGACTTAAAATCTTTCCACCAATATCTAGTAGTAGGCATCGGATGGTAGAGGACAGTGGGAAAGGTAGTGGAATAATAAAAGCATGTGAAATTTGATTTTATATTTTCCCCTTGCAGTTCAGGAAGGGGAATTTATGTGAAGCAGCTATAGAACATTGCCTTTTTCTTTGATTTTCATGTATCAGAGAATGTCTCTCTTCTGTTTTAACTTTCCAGTGGGAGTTTTGGTTAAGTGTAACAGTTAGAAGATTTTTTTGGTTTCTGCTTTGTGGAAATCTCTTATTAAAGATGTAGCAGACTTAGTGTTAGAAAGGAAGCCTCCACTGCCTCCTCCCTGCCCCAGTGTGTAGGTTAGGGATTCGCAGCCTGGGCTTTGCTCATGTTTTGGGCTGGATAATTATTTGCTGTGAGGAGCTGCCTTGTGCATTGCACGATGTTTAGCAGCAGCCCTGGTCTCTACCCACTAGGTTCCCTTGTTGTGACAACCAGAAATGTCTCCAGATATTACCAGATGTCCTTTGGGGGCCAAAATCAACCATGGTTGAGAATCACTGATTCAGGTCCCCTGTTATACTGTCTTAAAACACTGTTTTTCCTTCTAATGATGGCTACAGTTTTAAGTAATTAGGAGTAATTTTTCTCACCAGATTATAAGTTCCATGAGGACAGTGACCACATAACTTCATTGCTTCATATCCTTGGTACATAGCATAATGCCTTAAGATGTGCTAAATAAAGATTTCTCAAATGCGTGGATTGATGATACAGTAGGTAGCTGAATGACTTGAGCCAAGGCAGTTAACATTTTTGAACATTTGGTTTACTCTGGTATAAAATAAATGATTTGAGATTTTT